AAGGAAGGAAGGAGGAAGGAAGGAAGGAGGGAAGGAGGGAGGGAAGGAGGGAGGGAAGGAGGGAGGGAGGGAGGGAAGGAGGGAAGGAAGGAGGGAAGAAAAGGAATCTGCTCATGGTGGGGTGCCAGAGCCAGATCTTAAGTCTGGAATGGCCCTACAGCCTGTGCAGAGCCAGCTGGCTCATTTGCAGGTGGATGAACTGTGTGCAGTTGGCTTCGTTTCCCTACATGGGGCAGACACAGAAGCACAGACCAACGCAGACTCCGAGAGGAGGGGACATGGTCAGGGGAGGGGGTGTGCGGGGCTTACCTGGTCTTGCCGTTCCTGACTTGGGTATTGATGTGGGGATGGCTGTGGATACAAGGAGACGCCCTTGAATCAAAAGGGAGGGCTGGGGCAAGTCAAGAGGTGACATTCTGAGAGCAGTTATGTGCCCAGCTTCTGGCTGATTCTTTCTCTGCCTTCTGTATGGTAATGACCTTCCGAATCACTCTTTTCTCATGGGTCTTATTTCTCATCTGCATTTGGGCCAATTGAAACAATATTCCCTTCCACCCAGTCGCCGAAAATGTACAATACTTCAAGTGGGCCATTCTGTGCTGAAATACCAATATTCACACCCAATGTCCTTCTTGGGAAAACTGCTGTCCTTCTTGCTTGCTTCTGCTTGGTCAACTTTCCCTCGACATGGAGTATCTAATTAGGCGTGTTTCAACGTCTTTGATAGAAACAAGAGACTAGGAAATCAAATAGACAATTATCTTTATATAGGGACCTGATTACTGATAGGCATAACTTGTGAATAGGCAGACACCATGCAGACAGAATCTCTCCACCACCGTAGGTTTATACATGGAACCGGAAAACATGTTTGTAAAGCCTTGGGAGGGGGGACAAGCAAGAAACACAAACTAGGCCTGTAGATTAGTAACAAAACAAAGAAGCACTCACTGATTAGATGTGGGGTCTGTAACACAGCCTCTGCAAATACAAGAGACATCATCAGGGCTGCTTGATGCCGATCATGGTGATTTCCCCTGATCCACTTTGTGCTGCAGAACATCTCCTCTGCTCTACAGCGTGTTTCCCCAGGAGGTTCCTGAGTCACCCCGGCACTTGCGAGTGCCACTGGAGACTGTTCTGAGCCCCATCTTGGACAAGGTAGACGTGAGGCACTTGCAGTTCTATTGGCTTTGCCTGTTTCCTCTTGGCAGTAAGTAGTGCAGGACCTCAGATAATTACGGAACCCTGGAAACCTTGGTTCCCCCAAATGTAGAAGGGGATGAACCATGGTTTTATGTAAGGGTAACACGTGGCAGGGAATTTAAAATGTGCTGCATAAATATAATAGACAAAAAGCACTAGCTATTACTTTGACTATTTGGATCTTTGTTGTTGTTACTGATTTGTTTTGCTGACTGGACTGGGCTGTGCTTTAGGAGAAACCCTTGGCTTGGCTTCTGCCCGCCTTCCCGCACACCTCGAACGCCCCGTCCCTGGGTGCACGCTGTTCTCTCTCCTCGCGTGCCTCTCCCCACTTCCCTGCTCGCAGCCTTGCCAGTTTCAAAGCCGAATCCAAAGGAGGCTGGTTCCCTGGTTTTCATCACTATGCATAGCCTCTGCCTGTGCTGTTCTTGTTCCCAATATCTTTCTCCAAGATGCATGCATGTGTCGATTTTAGTATGTTCTAGTACGTTCTCCCTGTTCTACGGGTTTGCCTTGGTCCAGGGTATTCTATCTGTCCAGCTACATCATGTGTATTTGTCTTACTTCCTTGAGGTCGTGTTCAGCCTTCCTTAGGCTGAGATCACATCTTCTGCAGGCCCTAAAGTGTCCACCTCAAACCAGATTCAGAGTAACGTCGGAAATGACTTCCCAAGGACCTGACGGTGGGAACGCACCCAGGTCAGACATGTGTAGCTCGCAACAGCCCTCACTCAGGAGTAAGATCCTCCTGCTTTCCCCACAACAGAGCAGGAGTGCCGAGCCATCTGCCCAAAGTCACAGAGCAAGTGACGGTCCCCAGGCAGTCAGTCCAGAGCTGTGGCTCCAGGCCACCATTCTTACCTTTGTTTGCAGAATAATAATAAGCAGTGAAGTGTTTGCCTATGTTGTTGGAGCTTCGGAAGTACACAAGGGTCACCGAGCTGGAGGAGGACGTGTAGGTGAGGTGGGAGCCAGAGCAGCTCCTCCCCAGGGACTTTGCTGAAGCCGGGGGACCGTCCAGGATCTCCACATATTCATTGGTGCAGTCGAGGCTGGGGAGAGAAACAGCCACGGGGTGTCTCAGGCTCCTCCTCAGAAAGTCTGGAAGGTGAGATATGAGACAAGCCTTGTGTGTGGCTACAGAGGCCGGGGACAAGTTCAAAGTCGTGTAGAGACGGAATGGGTCTTTTTAGGCTGCTTCTTCTCCCTGGTGCCACTACCTGTAGGGAAGGGGATTGTAGCTGGGAGAGAAGGAGGAGCTGGCTCTAGATTACCCTGCTCAGGGCTGGGACAGCTGAGGCTGCGGGACCTCCCAGCCGGGAAGGGCAGGCCAAGGCTATCCAAGGTCATCCCACCACACAGCCACCTGGGGAGGGAGAGCCCAAGGTGCACAGGCTGCTCGGCTCCATGTGGGCCCGCAGTGGGAGCAGCTCCAGTTCCCAACAACCCATTTACAAACTTGTGGCAGCCAACCTGCTTAGAGAGGAGCAGGCCACAGTTCTACCCAGCTTGCTGTCTGGAAATTATCTGATCTTGTCCAAAGCTGTTCTCTGTGAACTTCAGTCCAACTACCACCAGAGACCATTTCCAGGTCACCACCTGAGAGCCATCATTCCAAGCCATCCTTCCATTAGGCAAAATCCAGGAGTAATAAGTAATTTACATTGTTCCTAGGCTTCATTTCYATGGGGCATTCATCTATGAAGGACATCAATCTTGCATATTTATGATTTTAAAACCCAGAATTTCCTGACTTAATAGATGTAAGGTTTTCCTAGACTGCCTCTTTAGCCAGTTGGTTAGACACATACTCTATCTTTCTTCTGTCTTTCTGTTTATCCCTACATCCCTTTCACACACACACACACACACACACACAATCTATCCAAAGCTCATAGATGATTTTTATTTTAATTAAAGATTCATGAAAATATACAAAAATCAGTCATATTTCTACATATGAGCAAATGCCTGGAAACCCAAACTGAAAGCGGTGTTGTTTACAATTGCTCCAACAACAACAAGAAAGAAAGATAGAAATGCCTAAATATGATCTAACAGGACTCATAAAAGATCTGCCTAAGCAAACAAACAAACAAACAACCCCAGCTAACATTAAAAAAAATACCAGATGCTCCCTAGGATGTGGAGAAACAAGATCTCAGGTGTTGCTGGTGACATGTGACACGGAAGTTACTCTAGAAAACAGTTTAATGTGTTCTAAGAATTTAAACATGTAACACTACACAGTCCAGCAATCACACTCTTGGGCATTAGTTATTTCCTCTAAAAATAACTAATGTTTTCACAAAAACCTGCATGTGAATGTCCATGGAAGCTTTCTGTGTAATACCTAAAGATGGAAACAACGAAGATGTCCTTCAGGGAAGAGAGGATTAAAGAAACCTGGATGCATCTTCAGGAACTCTTCAGGGAACTGTGCTGAATGAAAAAGCCAACCCCAGTGCTACTGTAGGCTTCCATCATATAACATCCTCAAAGTGACCTACTGTAGAGGTGACAGATTGTTTTTAGGGGGCAGAAAGAGGGGCAGTTTGTGAATGCAAAGGGTGAAAAGATGGTTCCCTTGTGGTAACAGAGCAGTTTTATATCTGGAATATGGTGCTAGTTATGTGACATGGGATAAAAATGCATGCAACCACACACACACACACACACACACACACACACACACACACTCACAAGTACATGTAAGATTAGTGGGAATCGAATGAGATCTATAGTCCAGCACACAGTATCACAACCAATGCCAACTTCCTGGCTTCGACATTGTTCTACAGTTGGGCACGTGACGCCACCATGGGGGAAGTTTGGTGAGGGGTCTGCAGGACTCAGCATTACTTTCCTATGCATCTGTGGCTATTTCAAAAGAAAAAAAAATGCACAAAGGACACTTTTGCTTAAAATATCCATTAAGGAAAAAGGTAATTGGGATTTTTAAACTGCACAGTGAACGGAGGTAATGCACTCGGCACTCACTCGAGACATGGAAATGCCAGCTGTATACGGTGAGACGTGTTTGCCGTGATCTCCCACGTGCAGGTTATGTTGTCGTGCATTTCATACTTTGGAGGATTTCTAATGCTTCCAGATGAGTGACTAACAATGCCACCACACTGAGAATTTTCTAAATAAAGAGAGAGATTTTAGAATTTCAGTTTATTTCATTGTTCAGTCAAGAAATTTTCTAATTCACACTCTCCCACACACTTTCCCAAAAAAGCTGTCATGGGTTATCATTTTGTGGTGTCTTAGGATAGAGTAGAGGTGTAAACCAGTCTAAAAAGGCTTGCAAACTTGGGAAACTAGAGCATGAATGTGTCTGAAGCTAGAAACATCTTTTGTCTCTTTTGGGAATCCTACCATGGCCATGGGCTTGCTGGAAAGAGCTGGTGTCCTACATCGGCCCAACCCTTCCCCTTGGTTACTCCCTAGTCCTGGGCTATAACTTTGAATTTTGTCAGCCCACTTGTGGTTATGAGTAAAGTTCTCCTTCAGTTTGGTCAATTAAGGCCAAGGCAATGTAGACTCCCGGTGGATCCGATGATGGCAGGACCCCATTACTGTCAGCCGTAATTTCTTAAAATTACATTCTTAAAAATCTATTATTTAATAAAAGAAGTTGCCCTGAGTTATCCACCCCTGCAATAGCCCTAATGCCGATATCATTTTCTGTCCCCCTGTCCACCCGTCTGTTGGGTTCTTCGTCTGCTTGTCTTATTTATCTGGCCATCCAACATTCAGTTCAGAGTTAAAGGTGACACCCTGAGGATGGAAACAGCTGGCTTTTCTCCTTCAGATTCTCTGGACCGACACTCACCTAATTGTGGCTCTTCTCTAGAAGGACACCCACTTCTCCAACATGAGTATTTTAACTCTTTATCCCCAAGTAATGCTAAGTACAGTGAAGCTTCTGGAACTCAAAACACAGATGAGAAAGAAAGTATAGAAAAGGAGGACAGAGGTTCTTCAGAGAAAGGGAAAGGGTGGAGAAGAAAACTGCCCGTCCTGGTGGACACTCTCTAAAAGCATGGCCCTGGGCAGCACCCTGGAGGCATCACTATGGTAACAGCTGCAGGTTTTCCCTCCATTCATGGCGGGCTTGCTGGAAGGCCGGCCATCAGGGCTGGCATCACTTGGTTGTTTGGATTTCCTTCTTTGACTGAAATGGAGTGAACCCTCATTCCACTGGCCATCATTATTAGGTTCTCTTAGAACACAGGTTCAGAAGTGGCACCTGGATAGTATCTGGGCACATTTTCCTTGAAGAATCATTTCAAAGATGGAGCTATAAGACATTGAACAGGGCTCCAGGGACCCACGTTCTCACCTGTAGCCACTGTCTCTGCCAGCGTAGCCAACTGGTGACCTGTGAAACACAAAAAGGACTCGTGAACCAGCATCTGGAACTGATAGCCACACACTGTCTGCACACGACAATCCTGAGGAGCTGTAACACACCGACTGTCTGTGCTCCTCCCAGAACCACTGAATGAGTCTCTGGGGGAGGCCTGAGTGTGCACCTTTAATGTGCAAGAGGCAAGAGGCACTGATCTGAATTCTTCCCAGACTTTGATGCATAATTCTTTCCTCAAACGTGAAAATGAGATGTTTTATAGTAGAAGGATTTAGGAAAACTAAAGACTTAAAATACTGGCCCCTAGGCCTATTCTGGTGATCCAAAGGCTGGGAGTTATGAGCTTATGCTGTGGGAAGAGGAAGGAGCACAGAGGCGGATGCCTTGACCCAGTGCTTCTCAGAGGTGCTGAGTCAGGACCCAAAGAAAGTGTGGGCTCTCCTCCAGGTCCCCAATATCTCCCCACCAGAAACACTCAGCTCAACACCTCCCTGGATTCTCTTCCTGGATCACGTTATTTCCTCCTGGTAGCGTTGACTACACAGGAGGGGTGTGAGTGCTTACCAGACCTTATCAAACCATGTTCACATAACTCTGACTGAGAGGTGACTGCCAGTAGAAGAACCCTGGGTGAGGAACAGAGAATGGGCATGGGAAACTAGGTGTCGAGGCCGAGAGTGTGTGGGGAGCCAACAGCAGGGGCTCTGGGGTGGGGGCAGAGATGCACCCGGAACAAGGCAGAGGCAAGAGGGGTGGAACTGAGATTGGCTCAGCTTGGCTTTCCCCAGATGGGTCCCGGTGGCCATTCACCCCTGGGCAGGAAGCTCCCTTAGCCATCACCCGTATCCTCACCACCTCCCACCCAATCATAGTTCATTGCACCTATGTAAAACCTCAGAACAGAAGCACCCACGGTGCTCTACAGAAGTCGGAGATATTGAGAAATCCATCTCCTGAATGTGAAATTCATGGTGAGTAAATAGAGAGGTAGCCAGGGAGGCGCGGCTAGGTGACTGCGAGGTATGTCCACCTCTCCCCTGGACAGTCAGGTCCTTCCACATCTCTCAACCCCCTCCCCAGGCTTAGAGGACAAGACCTCCAGTTTCCAGCGGAACCTGTTCTCCAAGGTGCTGATGAGCTGCCCACTTGAACAGCACCCCCCTTACCTGGTGGTGAGACAGTTGAGTGTTCAGCATCTGCAGGCAGGGGAGGGGACGACATCTGCCGTGAGCGAATGACACGGAACCGAGTCCAACTGTATAAAGCACGCTCTGGGAAAGAGCCAGGCTGGGCCCCACCTGGAGGGGCACGGGGTTACCTGAACAGATCACGCTGGCGTCTTCCTGGTGACCACAGTTGTGGGAGGACCAGCCGGCATGGGAACATGCCCCCAGGTGCCGCTCGGGTCCTCCGCAGTGCACATCGTCAAGGAGGATCTTCCCAGAACCTTCCCCAAAGTGGGCCTCRCCCGGGGCTGCGATGGCCCGGCCACACTCGAGCTGCCTGCAGACGATGTTGGCTTCTGAAAGGTCCCAGAGGTCATCGCACACTGTCCCCCAGACTCCTTGGTAGAAAACCTCCACACGGCCGGCACACCTCTCAGGGGTGCCTACCAGCCGCACAGGTGCCCAGCCTCCTGGGGAAGGACAAAGGCTCAAGTCGTGAGAGCTGCCCCCAGCTCACTGGTGACAGGACTATTGTCTACATGACAGACTCTCGGTCCTAATCTTCCTTGGGCTGCTCTGAGTGACTCCATGCCACTCACCAGACACGTGGGCTCCAGCCTGTGACATCCCTTATCTGCACCCTACTTTAGGACCGCTTGCCTGTGGGGATTATTTCTAGAAGTGGGTCCAGTTCTTCTCTTCCCTGTATCCTCACTCTTTACAATGTGCCGCGTGACCTCTCCCATTTGGAATTTGGGCTCTTTCTTCACTCCTTGACACTGGGCTGGGGGCCTTTGGCTCATCTTGGCCAAGGGAGTGTGGACAAGTGCCCTTGTKCTTTGAGGGCATGAGAGGCCTCCCAGGCTGCAGCTCACCCTCTGGGCACTCGGRAGCATCATATGAATAAGCTTGAGCTGAGTGATGAAGGACATGCAAGTTTGTCACCTCTGTCACTTCAGGTGACAACTATAGAATTCCCAGACATGTGAAGGAGGCCATCCTGGGACAGATAGTCTTTGACCACAGATGCATGAGCAAATCCAGCCAAGTTCACCTGAACCTATCCTGAATCCACAGACTGCCCAGCTCACTACTTGTGAGCAATTATCAATGGAGGTGGTTTTAAGCCACAGTGCTCTGGGATGGTTTCACGTGGCAATAGATAACTTACACACATCTTTGTCCATATTCTCTTTTTGGATAACCTGCACCTTCCATAGTCAGGATGAGACAGGGCCAAAGCCGTAATCCCCAGGGGAAGTCTGCCTGATCTGATGTGGAGTGCACATCTGACCCCAGGGAAACCAGTCCAGGTGCTGGACTGTGCAGGGTCTCTGTGCTGGGTATCTGGAATTGGGAAGAGAGCTGGAGGACTCAGGGGATGACACTTCCGTTGGGGGCAACCATGATAGTCATACATGAGCAGATAAGTGAACAGAGAAACTGCTCAAAATGACTCACGAGGGGACAGAGGAAGAAGGGAGGTCCAGAGAGTGGGGGGATGACTCTACGGTTTGTACCCCCTGGGCTCGGCTCCCAAGACCCATCTATATCCCACCATATACTCCCTTCAATTAATCTTTCTTGAATGGGGATTTGTACCATGAAACCAAATGCTCATCCATTAGCAAATGCCCCCCATTTCCATTTACTTGGCTTAAAGTACCCATTCCTGCCCACTGAAATCCCCCCGTCCTTCGGATTCCATCCCCAGTGGCTCCATTTGATGAGGTCTGTGATCACCCAGACCAGGACTGACATTTTTGATTCTCAGCCACTTGCTGTGGTTCTCCTGGGACTGGCCACACTGTCATGTGTAGAGCCAACAATGCACACGTGTTCTCTCCCTGAGCAGGTGATAACTGGGAGGTTGAGTGGACGTGGATGTTGGGTCAGCCCAGCATCCCTGACTAGCTCTGTGGCCTKGAGGAGAAGGGGGATTACAAGCTGTCATGAGGCAGAAGAGAGGAAGCGCACTTGGAAGAGGGCTTGTCAAGGCTTGTTCTTGCTTGGTAGGTGGCTGGGGATGCCGAGAGGTGTCCAGATCTCACATGTCTGGGGTGAGATGGGTATGAAAACAGTGGGTGTGGTCGTGAGTGTTGTAGAAGTGTGTGCAGAAAGCACTCCCCAGGGGTCACAGAACAGCACCAGCCATGGTCTGAGGATGCAGGAGGAGCATGGCAGGGTCTCTCACAGACCACCTCCCTCCACATGTTAGTTGAGCTATAGTTTTCTGTGTACAAGACTTGTCTCCTTACTAAATGACATGCTCCCGGAGAACAGAGACYGTGGGAGTCACTCACACATTATCCAAAGCAGGACCTGGTTCAGTGCATGGTGGGCACGCAGGGTGGAAAGTCAATAAACGAATGAGGGGGGAAAAGATGGAATGTGAATTCAAAGACTTGAAAGTCACAAAACCATCCATGGCGCCGTTGCCATCTTCTCAAGGCCATGGTCAGTAGGCCTGCTGGGCACTATCTCACCCAGAATACTTTCAGTCCAGGACGGTGGTGGTGGCTCTTCTCAGTCCTCCCAAATCTTTTGGCAGTACCAACAGATCAAGGGAGTAGTCAGGTTGAATATTTCACTCCTGTCTTATCTAGCCTCAGGCTGAACCTAGCTTATAAAAATCCAAGGTCCAATGCAATCTGAATTCCCCTAAATATTACTTATCCCTGACCACATTAAAAACAAACAAAAACATCTCAGAGGGCCTGAGCCCYCTCCCTTGTCAGTGACTGTGTGGTTATCGGCTGCTCTAAGTCCTGCTCTGGAAAGTAGCCGTCTCCTGCTCCATGGCCCATGGGGACTCCGTCTGGGCCTTTCCTGTTTGGCACAGTCCCACTGCCCTCTCACCCTCCAGGCCCCGCATGAGGTACCGTGTCCTGCCTGACCCTCAGGTCTGGATGGTGAGCCTCTCCAGGCACCCCAACACCCCATCACAGCGTCCACGACTCCAAGGTACCACCCCACCCCCTCAGCCCACACCAGGGTCCCCTTCGTTCAAAGCTCTCCAGGTCCCCAGTGACATGCGTCCACTCATCCCTTCATTGTCAAAGGAGCAGAGTTGTCCAAAAGCCGAGACACAGAACCACACAGCCCTACCTGCCAGTGCAGAGGAAGGTGGCTGCTGAGTTGCTGGCATCCCTGAAGRGGTGGGCAGCAGGTTCTCATGGGCTAGGGACGGAGAAGGAAGGACAGTCGTGAGAGCAGGGTTGCATCACGGGAGAAGAGACGGTTTCTCCAAGGGGGTGCCTGCCTCCTGCCGGGACTCAGTAGGAAAAAAGATGCCACAGGGTTCCAAGGCCAGGGACCCCATAGCCCCAAGGTCTCTCCTGAGGGTAGGCCAGGGCACTGCTGCTTGTTGGCCACACGGCTGCTGAGAGAGCAAACTCATGGGAACTGTTTCCACGTGACCTGCGGTAGGAGAGGCCATCAGCTGTCCACGTCTCCCTTTGCTGCCTTCTGCCCACGTCTGCTGCCCTCTGACCTCCCTGAAGGAGGCAAGGATGGTCAGTCACACAGCAGATCTGTCAGGGAAGGGGGTCAGCTCTGAAATGGCCCCTGGAAATCTTACTGAGTGTCTTTACCATGGAGGTCACACACCATCACAATTCACCGTGAGGAAGCCCTGTGTCCCAGGGAGAGAGGCCGCTTGGGACTGATTGGGGGCAACCTGTGGAGCCGATAGTTTGCAGAGAAGCTACTGCAGGAGCAAGTGGGAGAGAACCAGGAAAGACTGGGAAGCACAGTGAGGTAGAGAGCCAGCTAGAGGGACAGATGGCCTTGGGAAGGTCAGTAGGCTCAGAATGGGGAGGGCCTTGGGCATCAGCTGACAAATTTGGCCTGTCACCCAGAGGTCACAAACTGTGAAGTCTGTGGGCCCATACAGATAAGTATGAGGTCCGAGTAAAGGGACCAGGTGAATGCAGAGTGGTTCTGGGTCCAGAGGGGCAGCCGTCTGGGATCTGGCCAGTTGGTATAATAAAGAACTTGCTATTTTGTGCCTTCGCTACTTTCATTTCTTTCACTAGATTAAGAATTTTTATTGTTGTTGTGATGAATATTGTGATTTTTAGATTCAAGTTTAGCCTGAATTTTCAAACTAGACAGCCCACTTCTGGGCCTGGATCAGTCTGCGAGCTGGACTTGGCCCTCTGGGCAGTCAAGGGGCTGGTTAGACTGATGCCAAACATGGACGAAACATAGGCAGCTTTGGTGACCTACCTAGATCTGCTGTGTTCCTGGACTGACCTGTGGCGTGTGTGTGTCTGTGTGTGTGKGGGGGGAGGTGAGTGTGTGTGTGTGCATGTGTGTGGAGGGGGGTGCAGGAGGGGAGGACTGGAGGGGGAGCTAGGAGTCCCCTCCAATGCTGACAGCCAGCCCCTCACCTGCACCCTCCAGGTGCCCACAGTTGTGCCCACCCTGGCCCCTGTGCCATGCTGCCCCAGGTGGCTCTTGCTGCCCACATCCTGCATGCCATCCTGCTGGATCTTCCCAGAGCCTGCCCCAAAGTGGGCCCCCGTGGGAGCTGCCCCCACCTGGCCACACTGCAGCTGGCGGCACATGACAGTGGCCTCARCCAGGTCCTAGAGGTCACCACACACTGTCCCCATGTGCCCTGAATGAGGCTTCCATGCAGCCTGAGCCCCTCCTGGGGAGCACAAAGAGGAGGGACACTGGGTGTCATGCCTCCAGTCTCTGGAAGGTTTTTTCCTTTAAATTCCCAGGTGGCCATGTCCTCCTTTCACATACATGTAAGATCCCATCGTTCTCATGCACCCACACACGAGCAATAGCCAGAATCATCTCCAACTTCATGTGAAAATTGGGCTTTGCTACTTCCTCTCTTCCAAAAGATGAACGCCTCTTTAAGGAACTTCTAGAATTCCTAACAGAAACATGTCATTCCTATATGATTCCCCAGCTGTGGACGGGGATATTCATGAGAGATGTCAACATATCCAGTGGAATATCACCTAGCCCGTCCACCAGCAGGTCACATAGACACCTTCTCAGCCACAACTACATTGTCCTGGAGCAAAGAGGCCCCTTTGTCTCATAGAAATCTTTTTGTGTGGCTATATTGTGGCATTTGTTGTTTGTGAGTGAAAAGCAGGAGTCCCCAAGAACCACTAACTTACATGTTTCTCTCTTAATTTTTACAACAGGCATGGGCTTCCCATTTTGCAGACAAAGAAACTGAGACTTGACAGGGCTAAGAAATTTGCCCTCAATCCCACAGCTTATGAGCGGGTTGTTTTCCACTTGTGGGTCCCCCTCTCTCGACACCATCCTCAGCCCTTCATTTCTCAGGACCTACTTCYCAGCCCGACAGGTGGAGGAGTTGAAGCCTCGGGGGCTGTGGTCACTGAGGGCCCTGAGAGGAGGTCAAGGAAAAGCCACAGCTCGCGTAAACCACTGTCAGTTGCATGCAGAGAATGAAGTGAACACTCTGCAGAACGGGCTCAACCTAAGACCCAATCCCGTCTCCAACTTGTGGCTTTGTCTTCTTTTGACTCATCTAAGTCAGTCACTATCGTYCCCACTGAACAAGATTAACTTTTTGTTCACCCATTACGTGTTCATGGTCAGCTTTGAAAAATACAAGATGAATCTAAAGCTCTCACACTTACAAAACCCAAGAGAATCAAAGCTGTCTCAGTAAGCCGCAGGCCATCATTGACTGAAGGCAAGACAGAGAGCCTGCACTGAGGAGGCTAGAACGCCTCTCAGAAGCTAGAACAGGCGTCAAAGGCCTGTAATGTCAGGTGGATTTCGAGGCRGGTCAGTGAGAAGGGTCCCAACGCAGAGGATGAGTGTCCTTACGGAGACCAGAGCAAGAAGCCACACRCAGAAATGGGCACGGAGGCCATGGAAGGACTTCAGCAGGTGGAAGGGAAAGAAAGGCCTCCCTGCGGGCAGCTGGGAGTCACAGGTCGGCCACCGATTTTGGATACTAAGAAGCTAAGGGTGTATGCACTTAATATGACGAGAACACCTCGGTGGCCTAGGCATTAACTCCAAACACCTGGATTCCAGCATTTTTTTTTCTTACATCATGCAGAAGACTTCCGGAGGGATGACGCAGGAAGACAATGGAGTTTGGGGTCACCTGTCTTCACAAGCATGGCGTCCTGTGACTGAATGTTCCTGGGGACTTCTAAGGGCTAATTGTATGTTAGAGACTCCTTGACATCTGGGAGGGAAGAAGCCCATTTCCTGTGTGAATGCAGTGTTCCCTACACTCACGAGGACCCGAGAACCCATGTGTGTGAGKGAGGGTGAGTGTGTGTGGGTGTGTGCACCACTGGCCTGAACTCCCTGCTGAGCTGGAGTTACTAGAAGCACATTTCTCAGAAACACCTTTATTTCACTATCTCAGGAACTTGGCAAAGAATATTTCTAGAAAAACACAGTCTCTTATGATTTTTAATAAATACACAGGATATAGGATTCAATGTAAACCCCAAAGACACATTTTTAAYGTACCTGTTGGTCTTTGCTCTTCTGCAGAAGTGATGGATTCGATTGCTATGTCCACAGCTACAGAGAGCAGAGAACACCAATCAGTAATGAAGCGCACCCAAGACCAGGCTGAGGCTGAGCAAAGGGAAGGATGGATGCCCCAGGCCAGCGTCATGGTTTCCTTGTGGAAATCTAACATGAGAAACTGGTTCTAAGGAGCCTAYGGAGCTTCAAGTCCAAAGATATGACTTTCAACCTGAGGTCTGAGTCCTATTCCACCATACTATAGACAGACTTCAGTTTCCTGATCTGTAAAACTGGGGATCAGATGAGCTAATGGACAGGAAAGAGGTTCATAAATCAAAAATTAATATCCCTAATTCAAGCAATACTTTTGGAAAAAATATTTTTGGAAAAAGTATCCCTCCCCCCCCYTTTTTTTTTGGTTTCAGGGATTGAACCCAGGGGAGCTTAACCACGGAGCCACATCCCCAGCCCTTTTTATGTTTTATTTTGAGACAGGGTCTTGCTGAGTTGCTTAGTGCCTCCCTAAATTGCTGAGGCTGCCCTCCAACTTGTGATCCTCCTGCCTCAGCCTCCCAACAGCTGGGATTACAGGTGGGTGCCATCGTGCCTAGCATTTTTTTTTTAAGGATAAAAGATTTGGTCACTTCAGCAAAGAGATAAGAATAGGCAAAGGAAAAACTCCTCCATATCATTAATCTTTAGAGAAATACAACCAAAAATCACAAAAGTGTATCACTATTAGCTCATTATAGTAGAGATACCATAATAGCCCATCTTAAAAAACAGATAATCCTAAATGTTGACAAGAATGTAGAGAAAATGTAACTTTCTTATGTTGCTATTGGAAGTACAAMATGGCACAGCTACTTTGGAAAACAGCTTGCAGGCTGTATGTGAATATTTACGATAGCTGTATTCMTAATAGTAAAAATTAGAAATAATTTCAATGTCCACCAGGTGATGCATGGAGAAACAAATTTTGATATATCCATAGTTAGCAATAAAAAAAAAAAGAACAAATGTCTGAGAGGTGGAATTACATGGATGACTCTCATAAGCATTAGGCCAAATAAAAATATCCCAGTGCAGGGCTGGGGCTGTGGCTCAGTGGGAGAGCATTTGCATAGCATGTGTGAGGCACCGGGTTGGAYTCTCAGCACCACATACAAATAAATAAACTAAAGGTCCATTGACCACTAAAAAAAWARAAAGAAAAAAAAGTYYCARMGCAGAATGTTCTGGGGGTGTTAGGYMYGATTCCAGGAAAGGCAAACCTAGAGAGCCAGAAGTCACACTGGTGTTGTCAGGGTTGGGGCTCAGGCGACGTTTAACTACAAAGGAGCAAAGGGAACTCTATAAGGCCGTGGAAGGGCTCTGTGTCCTGATGGGGCAACAGCTTCACAGTTGTAACCGYTACGATGCTTTGAGCTACATGGTAGTTTTTACTGTAGGTAAATTGTACTTCAATAAGCCTGACTTTCAATTAAAAGTCAACTCTGCACCTAAACAAAGGCTTAGAACATTGGGGACACACAGGCACAGAAACCAGGTAGACATCTGTGGTCATTCAGAAAGAAAGGGGAGATGAAAGCCTGGGTCAGGTGGGTGACTGTCAGSGGAAGAGGAGGCCAGGAATGCACCCCCGGGTCCCCAGCTGTAAATGGGAAATAAATTCCTCCACAGAGACCTATTTGAATAGGACTAGATATCCAGAGGGTTGAAGGTATTTTATTTTTTAAAAATATTCTTTAGTGTTGATGGATCTGTATTTTATTCATTTATTTATGTGAGGTGCTGAGAACTGAACCCAGTGCTTCACACATGTGAGGCAAGCGTTCTGCCACCGAGCCACAACCCCAGCCCCTGAAGGTATTTTAATAATTTACTTAAATATCCCTGTTTGGACGTGAAGCTCTGTATATAAATAATAAACATGTAAACAACTAAAACGTAATAAGTTCATGTGTGTAAGACACATAAACTGAAGACCACTAGGGAAGCGACTCACAAAGTGTGACTTACTATGGAGACTGGAGTTTGATGATAACGGGGCTGGTGAAGGTGCCGGTGATGGTGACGAGGACAGCGAGGGCATCGAAGATGGAGGCGAAGACGAGGCTGGTGACCGCGGCGGTGAGGACAGCGATGGTGAAGCTGAGGACGATGATGGTGAAGATGAGGAG